TGAGAAGCCATTGTTCTTATGGATTAGCATTTAAATTACACAAACGCATTGAAAAATTGTTTCTTTTTTGTACTTCACCTGTTTTTCAATATAATGTACTCCCACACTAGCATATAGAGGCATTGGTTCATCAGAATTTTGATAGGAGTAGTGGGTGAGAAGCCACTGTTGTTATGGTGCAATAATGCATTTAGTTTATATGTTTCTTCTTGTTGTGATTGTGTTTGACTGGCTCGACTTGTAAGCTCTTTTGTTCTGTGAACAAAATTGTTGTATGGATGAAATGGCATTGTTCCTTATGAACGGGATTATGGGAATTATGAAAGGTTTTAACACATTATTGAACTGCAGATGTTGAGCCATGCAGGGAAGTCCCCGGCCATTAGGTCAGAGAAACATCTTGTACAGTTTTTGCGTATTTTATCCGCTTTTTGTTTGTAATTTTATACTTGCTTCATATTTGCTTCATGACAATGCTGTCTTTCTGAATTTTTTTAAAGCAATACACAGTATGAGTTTCCAGTTGATGGATCACCCTCACGAGGTCAAGCAAAGTCATCTGCTGTCATTCGAGCACAGGAAGTTCGATCAAAACTAGAACGTCAATTCCCTAGCTTCGTGAAATCACTGGTCAGATCACACGTGGCCAGTTGTTTTTGGATGGTGAGTCTGTTACAGTAGATGAAAGCGAGAACATTATCTATAACAGAAGTTGTACATGTTAAAGCCCTTGTCTTTTCCCCCCCTATATTTTGTTTATGTATTCTGTGTAATAGGGGCTTCCTTCGCTGTTCTGCAAAACACACTTACCAGATAAAGATATTACAATGACTTTGGAAGATGAAAGTGGTAGACAGTATCAGTTGAAATACATTGCATGCAAGACCGGACTGAGTGCTGGTTGGAGACAGTTTGCTGCTTCTCACAATTTACTCGAGGGAGATGTTCTGGTTTTCCAATTAGTCGAATCTACAAAATTTAAGGTAATGTTTTGAATCTTTTATACCCAAACCTATCCCTTGAATAGGACCAACACTAGTGCTTTATTTGAATTTCTGCCTTGTGGTGTTTTGAAATTCTGATGAAGTGGGGGCAACATTCCCTCATCAATTTTGTCCATTTTATCAACTTACCATTTCTGTTGGATTATAATCGAGAAAGTGTCCCAAATGGGTTCATACAGGTTAAGATTATATATGCTTTTGTTCTTTGGCCGGTGTGGAAGATTGCTATTTGTAACCGTAGTTTCTTTCATCTTGTAGGTTTACATAATAAGGTCAAATGGTATTGCTGAAGTTGATGGGGCTCTTTGCCTTCTAAATTTGGATAATAATACAAAACAAAAGGATTCAGGCAAGTTCATTAATCTCTCTGTTTGTATCTTCCTAGTAGCATGTATTTATAAGACATATGTATATATTTATGAAATCATGCTACATTTAGATGTACTTTCATTGATGTTTCTTCTACCATTTCTCATGGATGTTACACTCAGATAAAGATAATGCAGAAACGAGCACTACGCCTTGTAATGACTCCATCAGGAAACGCGCACATTCTCCTCAATTAGTAGTTCCAAAGAAGAAAAAGATTGGTTTGCAGAGAGCCGAACAATCTGAAAATGATAGTGAGGAGGCTGGTTCGGAGGTTTCAGAAGATCTCAAGTCACCTGCCGCAGCTCTTCAATTTGAGGACATCCGAAGTTACGAGAATTTTCACATTCTAGTAGATGGGTTGTTTCTAGATTCTGAGTTCCCCGAAGGTGTTCGAAAGAAGTACTACAAGCTCTGCCGCAGCCAGAAAGCGTTTCTTCATGAAAACGTTATCAAGGGCATGAATCCTAATTTGATTATAGGAGCTATATCTGAAACTGTAAATATTGCCGATTCCATTAAAGCTTGCAAGGTCACCTACACCTCGAGATGATTTTGTGTCTTGGGACAAGTATTTAACGGCCTTTGAGTTGTTGGGCATGAATGTTGGATTTTTACGTGATCGGATATGTCGGCTTGCAAACCTAGCGGACGACTCAGGAGCTGCATTGGAGGCAAAAATGTACAAAGAAGCTAGAATTGAGCGGTCGCAGGCAGGAATAGGAATAAGAAATATCGAAGTGAAGCTGGAGGAAATGAGGGAGGCGTGCGATGAATTTGGCGCTGCCATTGAGAGCCTGAGATCAAAAGCTGAAATCAACACGCTCAAGTTCCAGGAAGAGGTTACTGCTCCTTGGTAAATATGCTACTGTGAAGTGTAAAATCCTCTTCCCTTTTTGTGTAACGTTTTCATGTCTCAATATACTTGTAGTTTATATCTGTGACCCAAAAGATGGCTCGTTGTGCTTTGTGTGGTTCTGGAAACGACTAGCAACTAGTAACTTTAGCTATGTGATGCCTTTTTGGCTAGGAGAGCTTTCAGCTATGAATACAGATTAAGATTACAGTAATTCAGTATTAAGAGGCCTTGGATTACATATCCTCATCTCAGAATTCTATAATTACAAAACGTCAATTATGAGAAAGACGGTGCAACAGAGTATATATCGTATGTGCCTATCTCTCTCCTCATGTCATGCATCAATTGAAGAGGATGATAGACACAAAGCTATATAGCCTCCGTTGCACCTGGGTTTTCCTTCTCAAGGGGAGAAAGAGATGACAACATGCATTTCTAACTTGAAAAACCGCAATAGTAATAGACCTTGCATAATTAGGGTTTACAGGAGTACTACGATTAGTCTCCATCCGCGTGGTTGATTCCAACTGCTCCTGCTTTGTGGGTCTCACAAACGCGCAAGAATTAAAGCTCATGCGCACGTTAGCAGCTAATTCTACTATTTCTTGTATGTTTTCTTATTTAGAATCTTACATGGGAGAAATTTGGTATTAATAGTTTGAGACATCACGGTAATAGTAAATTTGTTTCATACGAAGTCGACCTCTTGGTGAGGGTTAGGTGCATGCTTTAATAGCTCCAGTCTGTGTCCAGTAGTAGTGGTGCAGTGGGATCTTTGAGATTTTGACCATCAATATTGTAACTCTGTTGGGGTTTTGACCAGTTGATTTTGTTGGCCTCTCCTTTAGTGCTTTGCACGTGAAACTCTCCAGATTCAGCCTCTGCCTCTTCCTCTGACTGACGATAGCATATGTATCTTTCCATACGAGAATTTATATATAAGGCCATTTCTAATCGAGGGTTGGTCAGAGGGCTCGTTTTAGCCTACTGACCCTACAAGATTCTTCAAGATATTAATATTTTAATGAACAGTACATGACTATATTTGCCTTCGTCTCCAACCGAGGTCCAAAGGGTCAGAGGGCTCGTTTTAAGCCCTGCCACAAAAAACCGTCTCCAACTGAGAGCTAAAGAGTCATAGGGCCAAACATAATTTATGATTTAAATTTAAAAACTACAACAACTTAAATTCAAATCCAACAACTTAAATTTAAAAATTACAACGATAACTGGTCCAAAAAACCAAAAAAATTAGAATTAGAATTTAATGAATGGTTTAGGTATTTATAAGAAAAAAAAATTAGAATTTTTAAGAATTAAAAAAAAAAAAAAATTGGCCCAAAAAACCAAAAACAAAAAAAAAAAAAATTGAATACAACGGCTAGTTGACTAGCCGTTGTATTCAATTTTTTTTTTAAGCAATAACCGACAGGAATACATTTAATTTTTAATATAAATATATTCCTATTGGTTATAACCGACAGGAAAGCTATATTTTATGGCCAGCCTCAGGCTGGCTGGCTGGCTGCTTGCAGCTAGCCTCCAGCCCTCTAGCCCTCTTCGATTCCGTGGGTTCCTCTCAGATTCCACAGCTCTCTGGCCTAGCCCTCGGTTGGAGATGGTTTTTGGGCCATTTTCGGCCCTCTGGCCCTCTAGACCCTTCGATTGGAGATAGCCTATAGGTTCAATAACCGTGGCTGGGCTGTCACATTGAAAGAGATCCTCTTTAGATCTCTTCTATCAAAGTTTACAGATCACGTAATTTGGATCCTTAAAATTTGATTCAACAGCTAAAATTATTATAATTTTTAAAATAAGCTCTATTTTTAACTGTTAGATCAAATTTCAAGGATCCGATTACTTGATCTGTGAACTTTAATAGAAGAGATCTAGAGAGGATCTCTTTCCTGTCACATTTATAGCACTCTGCATGTTGCTGTGTTGCACCATCTGTCACATTTATCCCATCTCCTATTCATTTTTTTTCTTTGATCTTTGTTGTCGAATTTAAAGGTGATTCGATTACTATTTCGTTTAATTTTTTATTTAATTTTTTTGAAACCGAAATTGACAACAATGCAACTTGGTCATAGTTCCTTGTCAGGGTTAATTAGTTCTTGAATTTGTACCCTGTTACTTTGGTTATTGAGTTTAATTTTTGAAATTTATGGTCAATCTAATTGTCTTATTCGTTTAATTCAGATGCAATAAAAATCGTCGAAACTAGTGAAAAATTTGACACAAATGAGCTAAAGTGGGACCATGGCAAGGCAAGGACCATAGACTTTGAAAACTGAATTGAAGAAATAAAGTAATACACAAGTAAAAATTCAAGGACAATGTCATAACTAATCCCCTTTTGATATATATAACTAGACATTGTTGCCTAACACATTTATAACTAATCCCCTTTTGATATATATAACTAGACATTGTTGCCTAACACATTTCTCAACCATGCGTACATCGAAAATTCTAGTATGCTTCGGTGAGGAAAATGAGATTTAAAAATTGAATTGAAGTAAAACACGAATACAAATTCAATAACACCGGTGTAATTAAGCCCTATTTATATAATTAGGAAAGTGAATTTCTCACTCCCAATTTGCATTCGGATTTAATATGTCAAAAATGAAATACAAAAAATGTGCTTAATGAAAAACTAATAATTTTCCCTATGAAATTAAGGTGTAGGAGTACCCCCAAAAATATGAGGAACAAGAGCTTGACATTTGATTGCATAAAGGTTCTTCAACTGCTTCAACCGAAAAAAAAAAAAAAGGTTCTTCAACTGCAAACATTTTTGTACAATGAACAGCCAAAAATACCAAATTCCAATCCTTAAAAACTAAACAGATCAAACTTTGAAATCAAAATACACCAGACAATAATTAGAGAGCCCTAATTAAAAACGATCAATCACTAACAGAAACCACAAGCCCTCTAAATTTAACCCAAAAAACAGCGGTAAAAATACAAGAGTAACAATAATCTCTCTAAGCCTTCAAGAGGTTAAAAAAAATAAAAAAAGGTACTCCCCACACCTCTACAAATTCATCAGCATACCCCTCTATATTCCAATCTCCACATCTCTCCAACTTGACCCTCCTTCGTCCAACACCTCCTGCAACAAAAAATAACACCACCACCATGTCATATAAAGCTTAAATCCTTTTTCTTCGACAAAGTGATATTTTAAATTACTAGAATTAAAGGAGAGCAGATTCGAACTCAGGGGCAAAGAGGTAGCTAGCTGACCTAGCTAAACCATTATGTTTTCGGCCAACTGAGCTAACCCACACCTGTTATATAAAACTCAAAATTAAAAAGGACAAAATGGGTGTAACGAAAAGTTTAATTCTCTCTCACCTGTGATGTCTTAATATTAGCATGATGCTGAGCTTCCTCATGAACCACCGCAAGTCCAGACCTTCTGCCATCTCCGTCACTCTTCTCAGCTTTCTTGGACACAATGTGGGACCTACTCTTCCTTCCGAGGAGCCCCTTCCACCTTGCACCCTTTGGCGGTCTGGATGACGAGACGTCATCGTCGTGATCCTCCCCATGGAGCAGCTCATCTCTGAGAGTGGTGGTGCTCCTCCGCGTCTGGCTGCTGCAGCCGTCCTTGAAGGGCAGCAGCCTGCCCTTGGAGAAGAGCTCATCAGCGCTCATCATGGAGTAGTTGGAAACAGAGAACTCAAAATCTGAGGAGACAGCAGGCGGAGCAGCAGCCACCTCCCTCCGGATTTCATGGTGGATGGCATCCTGCAAAGTCATTGGAGAAGGAGATTCTTGGGCTCATCGGAGGAGGAAGAGGAGGAGCAAACTTATGCTTATGCTCTGATGAGTTGTACATCTCTAAGCAGGCTGCCATCAGATTTCAAAACAACCCCTTGTAAATACAAGTCAAAACGCAACATGTATATGTGTGTATTTATATCTGATATGGTAATTTTTTTAATTTTTTTTGTACATATTTTTATGCATGCATGCCTGATGTGATGCGTCTTGTCATGACATGATAAATTGAACGGTGACCTGTTAAATCTTGAAGGAGGATGCAGTCTCCAATGTTTTCACTGCTTTCCTTGGATGTGGGTGAAGTTGCCAAGAAGCACACTATACTCCTTTTTATTCCAGTACTTTGGACTTGGGTAAAAAAAAAGAAGCTCTCTAACCAATCATATATCAAACCCTAGTTTCACGAAGATTCAGTTGATAATTTAATAAGACCCCAATCACTTTGTACGATGTAATCTTATAAATTTATAATCTAAACGGTTCGTGTATATATAATGTATGTTAATATTGTATCTCATGAAGATTCTAAGAAATTGTCCTTCGGGTTAAACAATTAAAATCTAATTTACAAATGAACAACAGTATAGGTACAAATAGTACAGGTTCTCAGAAGGTGATCAAATTTTTTAAGAGTAGAAGATTTTAAACACTTTCGACAAAAAAAAAGAAGAGGGTAATTAGGGATATGCTGCAGTCTGGTGTAGGATAATTTTATGAGTCATTGTTAAATAATTTTTCTAATTAATTAAATAACATATATTTTTTCTTGATTTGGATGTGATGATCTTGGAAGCAAAGGCTGGCAGGATCAGGGATTTCACAAGAAGGGAATGCAGCATTGATAATGCAAAGCATGGATGCAGGTTTTGCTGAGATAGCAAAAATGTGAAAACCCTAAACTTTCGGAGGACAGGAAAAAAAAAAAAAAATTAAAAAAATGAATCACAGAAAAAGGTGATGAAAACTGGGGCCAAGAAAGATGAGCCTCAGAAATCAGAGTGGAAGGAGGGCGGACACTGCATGAGCGGCCAAACTGAGTACTCATAAACTTGGGGCGAGGTCAGCCTAGGGAATAAGATTTTCTCTTCTCCTATTTTTATTCTATTTTTTCTTTTCCTCTCACATTTTTGTTTTTTATCTTATTATCTTTATAAAAAAAAATTGATATAAGATGTTGATATGATTTAATAGTAGCCGTTCAAGTAGGAGATGAGAAAAGTGAAGAGAGATTAGAAAATGAGAAAATCCTCCTCCCAACCACAAATATTTGAATTCGAATTCGAATTCTTTTTCTGTAATTTAAATTGGTTTGAAGTAAAATATGGTTCATATAAAAAACAAAGTATTTTATTTTGGTAAATTAAAGAGGTGGAAGCAGAGAAAAATTGGTTTGAATGTTGAGAGGAAATGCAGTGCAAGTTTTGGGACACGCAGGGTCAGGGCAGAGAGCAGAAGGGGTTAGCATGCTTTGTCATCGTTGACCGAGGTTTGACTGCTAAGTGGATAAGCAGATGCAGTGAATGAGCTGGCGATATCGACAGGTCAAAGGGACCACGTGATCAGGGTTGCCTCGCATAGCTGCATTTCATAAAAATTAAAAAATTTTAATGAAAAATTATCGGTACTATTTATTTTAATAAAAAATTATATTTTTATATTAAAAAGTTAATTATGTTATTATTTATTTATTTTATTTTATTATTATTTTTAAAATTCAAAATTTTCAAACTATTTTATTAGTTTTGTTTTAAAATTATTCATAAATAATATTATTCAAATTAACGGAATGGTTGGGAATAAGAGGATTTGCTAATTCGGTAAAAATTAATTTGATTATTTTTGGTAATTACAGATACTGGTGAACTAGGTGAACTAATTAGAGGAAGGAGGACAAAGAACATGATATTGTTTACATGAAAAATTGGGGTGTTTCTATTATTTTTTTATTAATTATAATATTAATGAGTTAAATTATAAGTTGTTAAAGAAAAAAAGAATAGGTGAGAACATAACACGGACCAAATGCACATGTATAATTACTTTTTGCTACTGCATCAATCTGCGAATGCTCCTATTAATTGTACGTCTCATGCAAAACCCTAGCGCCATATTTATGTTATTATTCATTGTCACTTCTATATACCGGAAGAGATCACGTGAGCACGTTCAGAAGCTAGTGTCCTTCCTGAGATTGTGGCATTGTGCCATCGGTGGCCGAGCTAGTTTGCTGTTTGCCACTGACAGAGTGGCACCATTTCTTTCTTTGAATTTATGATGAGGAAGAAAATTCAAAACCCTTCTAATTTCTCTCTTCTTTCTTTCTCTCATACTTGAACAGTTATGATTAAATCACGTTAATATTTTATATTGATTTTTTTATAAAGATAATAAGACAAAAAATAATATGTTGAGATGAATGAAGGGCCAAGCTTGAAGGGAATGATAATAAGAAGGAAAAAATCTTACTTCGATGAAGAGGAAGGGTTTTTTAGCACCTATAGCACTCATGGCCATTTAACCGTTGGAGTAACCGCTCACTCAACTCTTTATTCAGCAGATGCATGTCGACCATGTAATATTTCATTGATAGAGTAGGATGCTATCATTTTTTCTAAGGAAAACTAATGAAAAAAGTTTGAAAACTTTGAGTTTTAACGATAAGAACAAAATAAATAGTAAAATGAATAGTACCTAGGATTGACTTTTTAGTGTAAAAATGTGGTTTTTTGTTAAAGTGAACAGTACCTGAAGCTTTTCGTTAAAGTTCTTTTTTTTCTACACTTGAAATCATCTACCCATAAAAATAGCCTATTTTATTAGCATCCTGAGTTTAATCGTTTTTTGGAAATTATTTATTGTGAGGGCTAGTTTGATATTCCAATGCTTTTAAAAAAATTACTTATGTTGTACTGTGAGAATAAATAATTTTAAAATAAAATAAAGTAGTTAAGTGGTTAGTAAACCTTAATTGTAAAAGTGTTTTTAACCAAAAAAAAAAAGTGTAAAAATATTTGGTAAACTTTTATTTAAAAATGTTGTGATTATGTAAAGATGGAAAGGTAGGGTAGGATTGCAATATATAAAAAATTTCATTAATAGCTATTGTTCATCCGTGTATTGTGAAACAAGCTAGTTTTTGAAAGCAACTATTTGTTGCTTTCGCTTTTCTACTTTGAACTGCCATGATTTAAATAAAAAAAAAAAGGGTTTTTTTGGGGGGGGGGGGGGGGGGGGACGGGGGTTGATTGAGTTATCAAACAAAATCAGAGCCCAGCTTTTTTTCACCCCTGCTTATGAAAAAAGTTAAGCAATCTCAAATCAGTACTGAATTACGTGGATTAAATGCTTCTAATTAGTTTCTTTCTGCGTCTTTGGCCCATAGCAAGATGGATTTCTTTGTTTCGATGAATCATTGTATTTGTTTGGCAACCCAAAGATTACCCAAATGTGATTGCTATAGTATTATTCATGTAGGTCTTTCATAGCGGTTTTGGTGAGTGTAATACTTATATATAAGTATCAAGCATAAGCTTAATTTCTATAACACACTATACTAGTGTGAGTCCAATATATATCACAACTATGAGTTTGATATATTAAACTCTTGAGTTCAATAAATTAGTATCATATTTAAATTTTTAGTTTACTGTAGAAGTGTACAATTCTTATATGAGTTTAATACATTGGTATCACACTTATTTTTTTCGACTTAATGTGAAAGGCCCAAGAAAAGTGAACCCAAATATTCAATAAGAAGTATAGATAACTCGATTAAGTACAGATAATCTCACTTAAATATTTTATTAAATAAAAGTATTTTCTTTGGTTTCTGAAGGAAGGGGATTTTTATCATCTTGTCTTTTCTTCAGATTTGGCTTTTAATATAAGGCATCTTGTCATTTTGGATATAGTACACGTCACCTATGGTAGGTCTAACATGAGCATGGGTTTTACGTAGAATCCATTCCGATATACAGAAAAGAAATATGTAATTATTTGTTGCGTGATATGTAACTTATTTGTAAGAAGATTCTTGATTTATATATAGGATCGTACGATATTCATTATAAACGAAAATAATACATACATCATTGAGGATAGGATGCATACAATGCGCCTCGATAAAAATCTTGTCAAAAATTTCAATATGGTCGAAGGATAAAAAAACCTGTCCCACACCAAACTCGATTGAAAGTTTAGGATTACATCAGAGGGTTCCTCTAACCATATTATAGGATTATCCAAACTCAAACTTAGTCGTGCCATTCTGTATTTAAAGTAAAAATAAAATATTATGGGTCATTTTGGCTCTGATCCCTAATCATCCTAATTGTTAGATTGAAACCGTATTTGTTTAAATATTTTGATTGGGGTCCTTAGCATCTTTTAAGAGATTTAACTCATGCATTTATGCATTTAATGTCCCACAAATTATGAAATTTAAACAAATTCAAATAATATTTTTAAAATATAATAAATACTTAAAAATCAATAATAGAGTAATATTGTTCTTCACAAAATTATAGCAAAAAAAATAATGTACACATGACACACCCCTGACTGAAATCAAGGCGTGCTGGCCATCATGTGTGACGTAGCCAGCACGCCTTGATTTCGATTAGGGTGTGTCAACACACATAATTATTAACATATTTTAAAAAATAACTATTGATATATTTTAAAACATAAAATAAATACATATAATTAGCATGGGTACATTTAGAAAAATTAAAAATGGGTAAAAATAAATTAAAAAATATAGGTACAAATACAAATAAAAGTTTAAAAAATATGGGCACAAAAAGAAATTAATATATGGGTACATATTAAACCTAAAAATAAAATTGGTACAAATTAAAAATGGATTGCAAATTAAAATGGGTACAAACTAAAAATGAAAATATAAGATTAAAAATTTAGTCATAAATATAAATATACCCTATGTAACATTTCTAACAATAAATGAATATATTTAGAATTTTTTTTTGTTATTGAAATAATTAATGACGTTTATTAAAACTTAAGGGTCTTCATAAAAAATTAAAAAGAAATAAGGTTTTAATCAATGAAGTAACAAAAAGAGGAATGAGAACCTAATTTCTCCAAATATTCTTTATTGTCTGAAAAATCATTATATGATAAATAAATAAATAATGCATGAAAGATGAATTAGCATTAAAAATGGATTGCTGGCTGATTTTATTACAATAAAAGTTAGGGAACTTTAACGAAAAGCTCTCGCATTGTTTACTTTAGCGAAAAACCACATTTTTACAATAAAAAGTCAATCATATTAATATTCACTTTACCCTTTATTTTGTCTTTATCGTTAAAATTCAAAGTTTTTAAATCATTTTTATTAAAGTTAAA